AAAGTTTTTGAAGACTGTTGCTGGCATGAAATTCAAAAAGAAGAAATATTTTTCCCCCCAAAAAATGATTTGTCTCTTTCAACAGACATGTTATCTGTTTGTAGCACTTTCAAGTAAATCTAGGGATTACTGTAAATGATTTAGAAATCACAACAATCTGTTTTTATTAGCAGTTTATGCAGCTTCCCAATTCTTTTGGAAATGGGGCTGTAGTTAATGCTCTTCATGTGCAACACATCCTGTGGTGAACAAGCCTCTGTATTAAAACTTGTGTGTAGAAAGTTACATGCACCTTTGATTGTGGTGCAAAAGTATCTCAGTTGTAGTTTCTTCAAACACAATGAATAGCAGCAGAATGATTAAGTGGGGTTAACCTTTTATCTTCATAATTCTTACACTTGTGTGTAGTCAGGTTGTGCTTTTCAATCCAACTCACTTAAAGTAACTGTTGACCACTTCAAAATGGGTAGATTTTTATGGTGTTAAAACAATCTATCAAAGGTCCATGCCACTCTGAATAACATTTGAGAATAAATACTGGATTATGTGCCTTAAACTCTTATATGACATGCTCTTATAAACATTTACTCGCTAAATCTCTGAAGGACAGGTGGTGAAGTGTCATGGTATGACAAGCCTGATTAATCTTCAGGGTAATAAATTGTAAACGACACTCTTACGGCTTTTCTTTCTTCATAATGGTTGCATCAGCAGATACAGAAATATTCCCAAATATAAAAACTTATTCCAGAAGGGAAAAAGGTGCCTAAAAAATTTCACTGTATTAGGCCACACCAGTGACTGACGAGCAAGGTTCAGGTTAAAGTTCACATGTCCTGATACACTTAGAGAAACAACCACAAACAGGCACAAGTTTTAACCACAACATGATCGTTTTTAACCAACCTGCTGTCATATTGGACATGAAACAGTCACAGCCTAAAAGGCTTTTACCCACGAGTCCTGAAAGGTTTGTAGTTTCTCTTCAAGAGAAACCAAACAGAGGAATATATCACAGGAAAACAGAAAGTACTACTCCAATAGTCGTTGGAGTGTACAGCACAAAATTCAACACCCGTTTCGTGGTGCCCCTTCTCCTTTTGCACAAAAAAAAAAACAAAAACAGGAGGCAGAGAGTTTCCACTGGACTCTGAGAAGCTGCTGATTATTGTCAGTCCTCAGTGAAAAGCCAAAGAGGAGGGCATCAGATCTGAGTGTGGTGATGTGTGTGTCCCGGCGGTGTGTAAGGAGGTGGCGCCGGGTTGGGTTTGATTCCCCGGCTCTTCATGTAAGAGATGAACTGGTCAGGGATCTCTGCTAGCACATCTTTAGCAAGTCGTGCCATGCTTAGTACGTGGTTACCTGTCCGGTCCATATAATCTCTGAAAGGAACAAACTGAGGAAAAACAACAGACGTAAAAATGATTTGAAATGACAGTGATTTAATATTTAAAGTTTGTCGATACAGAGTGGTGTGATGTGGGAAACTGTATTAAAGAGCACATGGTTTTGCCTAGCTGATACAATATCATCCGGGCTTATTGGACAACTGTTGTGATCCATGGAAAGCTCCTAATACTTTTTGACACTGTACACAAGCAGGTTTGGAGAGCAGGGTGGGACACCGAATGGAGAAATCTCTGAGGCTCATGTTTAAGCCCCTATGTTAGTCAACATTTGCAGGATCCTGAAAGCTTTAGGATGCTCATCCGTCACTAATCCTCTGATATGGTTTCCCTTAGGAGAATGAATGTGCTCGAGCAAAAAGACATCTTTTCCCTCTATAGTCTGATAAATTACTCTTAAAGACTTTTTTTTACCCTTTGTTATTGCTTGTAATGATTCGTGGGGGGGATATAATTCACCGTTGTTTTCTGTCTCTCTCTTCACTGACAAAAGCTATTCTGTGTAAATTCCATGACCTTTGACCCCAACGTGATTCTCAGACTCGTGCAATGAATACAGCCAAAGTTTGTTTCATGCTGTAAAGGCCAGTCACCTGAACTATGTCTCGCTCTGCCAGTTTCCCCCGGGATGAGATCCTGATGTCATCACCATCCAGCTCCACCATAGCTGGAAGACACAAGTTCACACAAACACACACACATAGTGTGAAAACTGGTTAGAGGCAGCTGCCTTTGTGACAAAAGGTTCTTACACTAAAAGGTTTATTTATCACAGATGATAAAAATCCAAATTTAAATATGATCTTTTAGCACTAGTAAAAGCTATAATTGTTCTTTTTTGCATGTCTAATCAACTAATAAGTCCTTTAATATAAACTGTGCAATTTAGAATCATCAGCACTAAATACTGCAAACCCAGCAATTAACCCCAGCCATTTCTTCTACAATTATGCCTGCATCCACCTCCTCATTCCTTTCTCTACTGAGACAAATGAGTTTGTACAGTAATTTTCTCTCTGGTATTTCTCAGAATTAGTGCCAGTGAGGTTAGAACCAGCTCTTATTATAACAGACTGCGAGTTGAATTAAATTGTCAATTATTCGTGGAGAATGACTGATACACTGGTTGGCTGATTTGATTGGCTGATAGAGGCTGTCTCACAGCTATATCAGTTCTTTCATTACTCCAGAAGATAATGCATGATGTAATTTAATAATAATAATAATTTTCATCACACGTTTATTTTGACACGCACATAAACGCTTTACCTCCTTAATAAACCAGGTCTTTACAATTACAATCATTCTAAAGGTAAAAATTTAAAGCTAACGTACCGTCAAACTCAGCCTGACCCACTCCGACTATGATGATTGACATAGGAAGCTTGGCACCCTGCAGAGAAATAGAAATGAAACGACTCAATTTTTTCTAGCTCACATAGCTTGTCACCATTACCACTAACCTCTTGTGCCTATTACAGTGACATAATGACATTGTACTAGTTACACGCTCTTTTACATGCAGCAGACTGCAGCAGCAGAAAAGGTCTATATCAACCTTTAACTAGCTAAATGACCTTTGGGTAAGAACAGACTTTCAGAGAAAACATAAAAGGGGGAGAAAGAAGCAAGAGCTCAGTCAGAAAAGCTAATGAAACAAGATGCCAATGCAAAATATCTATACTTTTTCCTAAACTTATCCCAGATTTCTGATATTTCAGAATCCAATTTTCTGTCATTTGAATGACACCAGCTGTTATGTAGAGGCTTCACTCAGCAACGGACCATTAAATGCTGATTGTCAGACTGAGGAATGGAGATTAACTCACTGAAAACACTAGTAGTGTCATCTGAAATGCCACACTGGTATCTCATGCTGTTTTAATAGCTAAAAGTGGCAGATTTTTTATTTTCACACAAATATTTGTAGACGTTTATGTCGGAATTTGCCGCCTGGATGAATGCCGAACAGAAGTGTGAAACTACGAAGCTGGCTGAGACTAAAGGGAAAACAGCTGGATGGTCGCATTTATGAACCAGGAGAAGAGGGAGAGGGAGGAGGTGCCAACTCAGTCACTAGGGCAACCATCCTCATTCACCCACCCAGCCACTCCCAGGCCACACTGGGGACTCATGTCGAGTGCAGTTAGTCTTGATACTGTGGAAGAGATCGGCACAAACCTTAGATGGAAAATAAATGAACACAACAGCAAATAATATGGTGCTGCTACATTTCCTAAATTATTTCTCACTGTGCTGTAATTTACCAGTCTGTGTGAGAGAGCTTCTGTGGGTGTATATATCTAGTCAACAATTAATGTGCACATAATTGCACAAGCTACAAGTGGAACATGCGGGGCTGTCCTGCATTCATTAGATTTGCTGGTATTTTTCACTTAGGTAGATGAAAAGAAAGAATGAAAAGTAAAAACAAACTTCATCCAGCTGAGATATAAACATGTGCAGCGTGCAACCAAAAGGCACTTGGAAATAAACTGGCATTTATAGAGTACTTTCATAGTCTAGCCACATTTAATGACTCATGCATCACTTTATCTATGCACTTTATTGACCACAACCCTGTGGGCAATTTACAATCATCAATAAATTGCATGTCTTTAGACTAATTAGGACACCAAAGTACCCGGAGGGAGGCCCAGATAGAAAATCCACCCATAAAAGTTTAACCCAGAACCTCATTGCTTTGAAGTGACGGTTCTTACCACTTAACCACTGGATCACTCTATCATGACACATTACATTGTCTTCCAGCCATTATGCAGCATCACTAGGGAACCATCCTATTGGTCACAAATTTATTCCACTGCATGACAACACGCATACAAGTTTCCACAAATAACGGCATGAACCTCCCAGAGCCCGAATCTCAATGGAGTCAGTCTGGAAACACAGCTATCTGCACAGTACCATGAAAGTGTACAAGTGTAACAAAGAGAACATTTAGGGTGGCAGAGGGAGTGAGCCTATCCCAGCTGCCATGGGAAGAGAGGTGGGGAACATCTTGGACATGGCGGCTGCCTAATTAACGTAACCAATTAACCTAACCCCGGCTAACTTCTTACTGTTAGACAACAGTGCTAACCGCTTCCCCACCATGCTGCCCCATACTTTATTATATAAGCAACAACTTGTAAACTTCTGGTGATACAAACAAATATTTGTATATTAGATGTTTGTATGTTAGAATGCCATTTTCACAATCAGGATATCTGCTAAAGGGGAAAGGTTATTCAGTGCTCATCTGAACAGCATGTTTTCTCCCAACTAGCTTAGGAGTCAATCTTTGTGGAGTTTGCAACCACGAAAAGTGAAATGTTGTATAACTGTATTTGTAGAAATAAATATTAGACATAAATTAATATTCTAAGCATTGTACTTTATTCATTTATGTCTAGAAGTGGCCTTTCCGCATAAATGACACCATGAAAGCTCAATGCAAAATCTCCTGTTACATCTAATTAGGTTTCCTAGACTCACATATTTTTTACAAAGCAGTCACATCACCAGGGTTAAACTTGCTGGCACAAGACAAATGCACTGTGGCAAATCAGGCAACCTCTTTTTTTCCCACAGGGATGAGAGCAGTTTGTGTCCTCAGTACCTCAGCCACATCACATCAACGCGATTATCAGTGTTCAACGCGACTCCTGTCAGTGCCTGTCCTCCCACTCATACTCGCAGATATCCGTAAGTGTATGCGCAGCCAGAGACACACACATCTCAACATCAAATGCCACTAAAAATAACCTGGCAATCCACCATGCCCCACTTTTGCAGTCCTCCTGTCACCCTGTTTTGCAGCAGAGATCCAGTCTAATGAGACAACAAAACAAAGTGTCAGTCAAAACTTGCAACTTCACTTTGTTTGTGCTTCTTAAATTCAAATGCCAGGCATGTGCATGCTTTGATGAGTGTTTGTGTTATTGCAATTACACATATGAGCTTAAGGGGCTTTATGGATTTATGTTTAGAGTAATAACCATTTCATTCACACATGGTCAGCTATGTTGCTAGACTGTCTGACATTGGCTGCCTCAGATGTCAGCTCAGAGGAAAATTTAGGATCGAAGACTTTTAAAAATAACACAATTATCAGTGAGTGCAGACCTTACCTTTGAACTGTCAGAGTGTATTCTGTGTTCAGCCAGTTATTAAACAAAGCAGCCCACTATCATTCACATCTTGACAGACTAGTATTGACTGCATTAAGAAGAATGTGGCTGAATGTAATCAGATTTTACCCACAAAATGTTTTTTATATTGAATACAGTTTTCTCAGCCAAGCAACAGCATCACAGTGATCACTAACATGACAGTGCCTGTGTGACAAACATATGTACATTACGGGGAAGGTTACTCCTCTCACAAAACATTCAGGTCAGCCCTATAGTTCATTTTTGTCCCTCTCTCTAGCCACTAGCTGTATATTGTTTCCTATTATTACTACTATCCTGGCCTATGGTGCTTTTTCAGATTCTTCATATTCAGCAGTGACATGAAGAAAATTACACTTGGATGCAAATTTTGGTGACCGTGAAACACAAATAGACGTAAATAGAGAATTTAACATTGCATTTGCATGGATGAAAAAATAAAAAGAACTGGGATTTATAATAAATGTTTTTTAAAACATATACATATACTTTAGGATTGTAATATGCGATATCACATAAACATACAAAGACTGACGAAGACAGTTGATGAAAACCTTAAACTCTGTGCTTTCACTTCCAGGATGCAAGTATGAAAAACCTACATGAGATAAAGGATGTAGCTGAATACAGCTGATAAAGTCAGAGTAGCTACTATATGCATCAAAATGCTGTTTTTTAACCATTTGACTTACCTGCAAAAATCTAATGAAATTTACTTCATTGGTATACATTCAGTTTACATCATGCTCATTTTCCTTAATGATTATTTATTTGAATACATAAAAGCTCTTTTTTGTGAGTCTGTCAGAAAACAAACGCCCATTTGTTCAAAAATAAAAACTGAGTGATAAATATGTTCCCAGGTGTCGTGTATTATATGCTCGACTTTATTATGCCGGTCATGACAGACGCAAACTGAAAAGGTCGTGTCATATACACGAACTGTTACCACAGGAATTTGAATCTTTTAACAATCATTGAAAAGCAATGAGCTGTGTTTCCCTTACTAGCTGTGCTTTCTACAGAGATCCAGCAGCCGCTACTTCTGAAACTCAAATTATGTCCTTCCATTTCAGGAGGATAATTAACTTAAAAAACTGCAGCTGCATCCACATAACTTCAGTTTTCTTTCAACAGGGCTCATTTCTCTGCACCATAAACTTGATTTCGTATCAACATCTAAACAGTGCAAAAAAAATGGAGGTTAAATGGTTGTGAAGTGAAGTGCTTTTGTTGGGTCCCTGCACCGATAAAGAGACAGAGCACAAAGCACAGACAGATAACAAGAAGAAGATGAGAAAGGAAGGAAATCAAAGGCAGCAGAGGATTTTTTTTATAGTCTGAATGTGGTGACAGAAGTATGGAGGGTGCAGATGAAGACAAAGAGGTGTAGATCTCTGAGTGGGAAAAAGATGGAGCGAGACAGCAGGTCTTTGTGTGTGTGAGCGAGGGAGACTCATGATTCCACAGAGGTAAAGAAAATGAGGCAGCAGAGCAACCCGAGCAGAGGAGGGGGCTGCTGAGTGATTGACAGGTGGATTTCTCTAATGCAGCAGAATCAGTTGTGACTGATAAACCCGCATGATAAGCCACATGTCCACATGTTAACCAGACATACCGCAAACACCGCTCTCCAGTTGTCGTACATGTGTACAAATATAAACTCAGGCACTCACTTCCTCTCACTCTGTTTCTTAGATCTTTCTTCAAGTGTGAATATGTATGAGAAAGGCTTATATAACCTCAGCACATGTGTCCTCCCTCGCCCGGGATCCGTGGAGGGTAAAAAGGCAAGCAGTGGAAGCAGCAAGCATCAGTAGATCAGAAGAGGTGGAGGCAGTGCGATAGAGCAGCAGGCAAGATCTTAAAAGGAAGGTGTGGCTGTTCTAATGTTTTGACTAACAGTCGCAAATTCCCTTTAAATCCAGTCTGCTGGGTGTTCTGTGCCTGTGGCAGGCTGAGGAGGAGTGGAAGAAAAGGGGAAGAGACGGAGGAAAAGGAAAAGGGGAGAACAGCAGCTACCTACTGTTTTAGGCTGGGGAAAGAAAGGTGTGAGGACAAGTTTGGGGGGGAAGCTCTGAGGAATAATACACAATGCTGTGCTGCTTTATTTACTGAGGCAGTATAAATAAGCCAAACTTTCAGCTGCTGTCTTATTCACAGGGGGTCGCCACAGCGGGGAGCTCCGCATATTTGATTTAGCAAATTTTTTACGCCAGATGCCCTTCATCTTTTCACATCTCGTATTTATTAATAGTCCACTGGTAGAAAGGGAATACCTTGAGGTAATTTAATGGTCTATGTATCATTGATGAGAAAGTTTCTAAACGTGTAATTACAGTTCTAAACATGCGGCTTGCTCGAAGCCATGATTCCAGTCCTTTTTCTCTGCGTACTGCAGCGGCCATTATTAAACCACAGTGCTGTTCTATGGACTGAAGAGAAAACCACAGAGAAGTTTTAGGGCATGCTAGAGCTGATCGGAGACATAACAATTTTTATTTCCAAGAGCAGCTGAATAGCTGCAGCTAACACGTCCATTGATTGTCAGTCAGCAGGTCAGACTAAATAAGACATTTGAGGACGTACTGAGCAACAGAGCTATATGTAATTTTCTCAATCAGTAGACTTTTACTTGATACCTCATGAAAAGTTAGCGCCAACAGTTGATTAGCTCATTGTAGCTTAGAAACAGTGAAACAGGCTGCCTGGCCCTCTTGCTGTAACCTTGAGTTTGTCATGCAATCAGTGCACACTTAACCGCATAATCATCCCTAAAATCAACTAAAAACAACATTTATTGCTGCACTTCATTTTACACTACACCAGTTTTGTTGCTCCATATTGATGAAAAATGAGTTTGATTGCGCTCCTTACTGCTACAAGATTGTATGAAGACAAACAAAGTAACCTCTTGTGGTGCGTATAGGTGAATTTCGTCTCTGGCACCGTGAATCAGTCAAAGCCCTTCTGTCTTTGCTTGTTAGAAGGTGCAGCTGTAATGTTATCAGCAGGAGCTGCTAGTTCTCAGCTCAGCACTAGCCTCGCTTCTATCAGCACCGACAGCAATGAGCTGCTGGCAATTCAACTATTTTTTTTAATCTCCACTACATCTGTCTGCTCTGCTCTACTCCATGTTCCCCTCTGCCCACACATATGCATACAGATATGGTGAAACAGGGAGCAGAGGAGAGAAGAACTGGTGCTAGCGTTGTTACTGACAGCAGAAAACAGTGAATGCTGTCATTCTTTGCCGAAGTGAAACAAGTGCACATAGTCCCCTCTAAGCAAAGGAAATACTGAGCATGTTGAAATATGAATGGGAGAGAGTAGAGTAAAGGGAACAAAGTTTAATCAGCTTCTGTTTGTAGTTGGGCACAGCAATAAGACTGTTGAGATTTTTGTATCTCCAGGAAACACTTTTATATTCTTAAATTACAATTTATTATTTAAATAATGGCCTTTAGCCTACGCTACACAGCATCATTGAGTTCAAAAGTGTCCTCATTAACGCCAAAACAAGTTGGGTGTATCTAGCCTTTTTTTTGTAGAACAGGAAATGCTCTCCCACTTTCCCATTCTTACATTTACAATGGCCTCTTTGGTCTGGGCCATGTCTGAAATGACGCCGTCTGTGATGATGAGGAGCACAAAGTACTGAGAGCCGTCCTGCACCGCCGCTGCGTATCTGCATACACAGATAGAAGCCATCATTACACGATGCCGTGTTATCGTTTTAATACAGAAACAAATCTGACTTCAAGACTTATTAATGAATTGATCAAAACATCGATGTGGAAAACAAACGGATGACAGTGCACGCCTTATCGAGCACTCTCACTACATGCAAATTCAATAAAAAATGTTCTTTGTCATTGCTGTACTTCAGCTCACACGCAATAAAACACCCCATGAGAAGAGAGCGATTAATTAGATCAAGCAGATTTAAAACAAAGCCTTCTTTCACCGTTTGATTCATTTCTTTGTTAAAATAAATCTCTTTATAAATCAGCTGACTTATTCAAATGCTAAATACCGACTGGCCGAAAGCCACAGCTTAAAAAAGTGAGATACCTTTTTATCAGAATTACATTTTTAATTAGAGCGTCGTCATAATCAGATGGAGAGCTGTTTGGATTTGGCTCAACAAATGTGCCAGTGAGGGCAAAAAATGACACTGACCGAATCCCGTCACACCACGGCTGTGTAACTACAGTGGCAAAGTACTGACTTAGATTGTTGGTCGTTTATTTCACTGGCTATATGTGTGACTGCTTTTTGATTGCTGTGAGCCAATTAAAATTCATTCTGAAGCACATCACATGCTGTTTGTTGTGAAGCAGAGAGGTCAGATAAGTTAAAGCCAAGAAGTCAAAAATGTTAAAGTTGAGTTTTTTTTAACTCCAATGTTATAAAGAAAAGATAATCTCACTATTTATGCCAATAAATTCCCACAACAGCTGATTCTATCTGAGACACCGAGCAGACTATAACGCAGGCTGCCGGTCTCTTTGCATATAAATTGTTTTAAAA